GGGTTGTCCACGGGGTAGCTGCGGTGCGGGGAGAGAGACAGAATGGGCTGTTAGTGTGAGACCGCTCGGGCTGATACAGCCGCTGTTTTAATGCAGATCGTATGTGCTTGCTGCAGCCCAGACAAAAAACACAACTTCCAGCTTTAACTGCCTTTTTCTTTAACTGCCTTCTTCCTGAAACCTCAGCTCCCTGGTTTGAGTCCTCCCATCTTGTTGCTTTTGGCCAACAGCACCAGGACAAAGGAAAGCTGCTGGGGATGGCAAAAACCCGCTATCATCTGTCGAATCTGCCAGGCGGACAAGGATGTGCCCATGTCACCTCCTCTGGAGGGGCCAGGCCACCCCCCGGAGGGGACCCGCACGGAGCAGGGCCCGCCAGGACGCGCGGGTCCCCCGGGGCGCACGGCCCTCGTCCTGCCAGGCAGGGAGCTCCGGGCTGGAGCGCGGCCCCGAGCGCCGCGGGGCGCCGAGACGCACGGGGACCGGCGCGCGCCGAGGGAAAACACGGCTGCACGAGCGAATCTCCCATTTATGGGAACTGTTTCACAGCAGAAAACACCACTGCCCAGAGGATACAGCTATATCGTGCAGCCACATAAAGGAAGCCCTAAATCGACACCTCCTCGCACTATAAAACAGCAAAGTAAGGTATACGTTTGCCACAAAAACGTCACGGATTTTAACAGTGCACAGTGCTGATCCAAGGCAGGCTACTGGAGATCAGATCTAGCTCCTGGGTTCTTTAAAAACAAACCACCAAAACAAAACCCGAGAAGGGCCATCTCTGTGGCTAGGCAGGGATCTAAGCAACTGCAGAAGGCAGCGTGAGCCTCATCTGAAAGCTCCTCTCTGCTCTGCCCTAGAGGAACACACTGCAAAGCGGAGAGCTCGGGCTCTCTGACACATCAGAGGAGCCTTTTCTGCAGCACTGCTGCCTTTGGATAAGATGGAGACGAGCTAATGCAGACCTGTCTATCAGACATGCTTCCTCTTGTTCCTCTTTATTCTGTTTTACTGCTTTTCTTCCCCCCGTCTCCCTCAGAAAAACACAAAGCTACTCTCTTGTTTTGACCTTTGTGTTTTGGGCCAGTGCTGGACCACAATCCCTATCTCTAAAGTTGGCTACAAGTCACCATTTCATCCTGCTTGGAGCAGATGCCCTGAAATCGCACTGAAGTCTCCAAGAAATCACTTGGAGGCTTCAGTCCTTCAAAGCCCAACTCCAGCTTCAGCATCCATGTTTGCTGCAATCACGGGGCAAATGGCAACCACCAAAGAAACAAGCAGAAGAAGCTGTTCTTTGCAGAGCTCTCAGGAACATAAGTCTGCACTTAGAGCGAGACATTAAACAGGACTCGGCTCCGAGAGAAAGCAGAGCAGATCTGCTCCACTTGTTGCCCGTGTTCCCTCCTAGAAGGGGCCAAGGGCGGTTGGGATTTAGGGCGAGCTGTGCGGTGCGGACTGCATCCCTGCGGCTGCGCTTCCCCTGCAGGCAGGAGTGCCCGGCTCCTCTGCAGCACCCGTGGGGAGGTTCTGCTGAGCCCTCTCAGCCCGGCTCCTGTCATCCTTTTACACCACCTACTACTCCCTGGTGACAGAAGGGATCCCGTAGGCTTACCTAAATTCCACCGGGGGTGGCGGCAGGCTGTCATCTGGGAACGGGGGCGGTGGTGGCACAAGAGAGTCAGTCTGCGGCGGTGGCGGGTAGCAGTTCACGTCCATGCTGTCGTTGGAGCCGATGCTGCCGTTCTGATACACCATGTTAGAGGGGTACCTGGAAGAAAAACACACCAGCACTGTGTTTAAAGAGCCCACGGGGGCCTCCAAAGCTCGTTTTCCTCTTGCTTGCAAGGGCTTTGCCTTCTGCAAGGGCTGAAGACACCAAAAGCAAGCAACAGCTTGACCACAAAGCAGCCACGTCAACCAAGTGAAGGGATCAGCCTGCAGGATTCACACGTGAAGCTTTTCCCACTGGGATGACTTTTTCCAACACGGTGGAACCTGCCCTATGGTGGCACCTTAGCCACAACAACGGGACACACAAAACGGCAGCAATGTTAAAGGAACATTTTACAAAATATCTCTGCTCCCCAAAGCATCCTCTGTGAAGAATAATGCGGTCTTTGGTGCAATTCTTTGGTTAAAGAGCGTTTGGGCAGTTTCTATTTTTTACTTATTTTCATTGCTATCATACACCTGATTTTGAGAATAACATGAGTAAATGCTTTAGTGATTAGTGTGGACTCAAGCGGCTACCAGTTACACTGAGTGGCAAAAAAAGAGCTGGAAGATGCCAAATAATAAGGCTGAAAATAGAATAATGAAAAGCACTGAAGAAACAGTAATGTCCTTAAAATAAGTATCCCAAGCAGAAGCAGTGATGAGGAGAAACACCACGTTCAAGTTTCAATGAGTTCACTCCACAGAGAAGGGAATAAAAGAAAGAAAAAGAAGTCTTGGACGCTCAAGACCTCAAACGAATTCAAATGCATGGATACATTTACACTAGAAAACAGAGGAGCAAGAAAATGGTGCTGTTGTGCTGCTCGATTCCTCTGCTAGAAACCAAACCCGTTCTCCTATTAAACTAAAAGCAAGTTTTATTTTTAGCAGGGGAGTGTGATTTAGAGAGAGATTTTTTTTTTCCCTTATATGAAAGGAAACGGCAAGGCGAGAGCAAGCAAGAGGTGCATTGTGGGGAATTCAGTGTGCTTGCAGCCCAGCTAGTGTCAAAAGTTAAATGAATTCCCAAGCCAGAAGTGCTAAAGAGAGATCTGGAGCTTGAAATCCTGGGCTGGAGCTGCCCCCGCTGCAGCCCTGGGGTGTGAAGAGCCATTTGCAGCACGTACCAGAGCAGCGGCGCCCGGGGCGGCTGCGGGAGCAGGAGCCTGCGGAGCCCTCGACACCTCTGTGCCACGGGCACCGGGAGCGGCGGCGCCGCTGGAGCGGCTCCTGCCACCCTGCTCCACCGGCACCGCTCCCTGATTTATTTAGCAAATTCTAAATCACCAGACAGATTTACTTGGGAGAATCTGATTAGCGGCGGTATCGATCGGCGCGGTGCAGCAGATCCGGAGGAGCTGCAGAGCAGGGTGAACTGCATGACAATCACCAGCGGCGAGCGGGGAGCCCGCGCTCGCTTACCCGGCGGGACCGTGCTTGTCCTTTGACTCGACAAATTCTTGCCCCATTTTCAGCTTCTCCCACTCTTCTTTCCGGGTTTTGATTTTCCGTGGGTTCACGTTGCCTCGGTTCGGATTCTCCTTTTTCTCTTTCTGTTGGAGGCAAGGAAAGGGAGGAAGAATCAAACAAAAGCCTTGCTTTAAGCTCCCTGGAATGGAGAGGGATAGGGCAGACCTGTAGCAGGTTTGAGAAGACATATTCTCAAAGGGGGACGGAATTTTTTTTGAATTCGCTTTCCCAGTTGCTGACAGCTCCCGAGACACCCCCGTACAAAGCACAGATAGCACCAAAAAAAAGAAGGCAGTGTCAGATTTCCCCTGTGCAGCCCAGACACCACCGCACTCTGGCACGATCACCTTGAGGGCAGAGTGGAAGGTCAAGTTCCCTCATCAATTCAGGTTTTCGTCTCTGTCAAGGCTGCCAAATCCTACCCAGCACCTGGCTCACGTTAAGTGCTTTGCTTCGGGTGTGCAATGTGGACACCTGCCCACAAAGAATTAGGCTTTAGCTAGCTCCGCTTTTGTATTTTTGACATGCCCTAGATCTCTTTTGTTGTTTTGATTGAAAAAAAAAATCACTATTGGCTTTGATATTTAACACTTCAGCTGTTTGAAAGCTAAGTAATATATGTTCAAACCAATTCTTTTATGATGCACTTTTCAATGTTGGTGACCATGGCTCCAAATCCCCAGGCAACCAAACCAGGGACTCTACCTGCTGTTTTTAGCTTAGATGGTTTTGTCAAGACTCCTCCTTGGGTCTGTTTTAACATTAGGACCTGTTTTGCTCTCCTGAAGGGACATTCTCCTTTCTTCACTCTTCTGCCATAGAGTTTACTACAGGACTCGGCACACTGAGGCACTGGGGTGGGGGTATTTGCACTGCTTCAGCACTGAACAGAGCCCCGTGCGATGCCAGAGGGCAGAACAGCTTCTCTACAACCCTCTTACCTGCTGACTGCATCACCACTATGTTTGAAAACCACAGGTTAAGCCACTGCAACCGTACCATGAAGGGGACATTTAGAAGAACAGATTTTTAGCATTCCCCACTCTCCTCCCCTTTTAAATTAGCAAAGATGAGGATAAAGAGGGGGAAAAGTACTGATCCCTAAAGAGTTTAAGAGATTGAAGCCTGAAATTTGGATTGTAACTTTTGAGCCCCCAAGATTTGTTAACGCTTCCCATTGCCCTCTCCTCCCTCATGCCTCTGCTGGCACAGATCTCCCAGATCCTCACCCTATGTTTCCGCTTCTCTTTCATGATATCCTTGGTGACTTGAAGCATTTTCTCTTTCCAAAGGTCAAAGAAATATGAAGGATCTGTGTAGAACTTAAGTGCTTCTTTACCATCATCCCTAGAATATGGAGTGGGGGGGGAACAAAAAGGAAAAACAGACACACAAACAAGGACCAAGTCATTCACTTGTTCGAAGCCCAAAGAAAACATAAGGCCCGATCCCAGGCGACAGTTTAAAGGTCTGAAATGAGAAGGTCAAACACTCTGCTCTCGCCTCCTCGGGAGGAGCAGGGCCCTGCCATTCCGGAGCGGGCAGGGCCTCCCAGGAGCGCCCGCTCGTCCCGCTCTCCCGCCTGCCGCTGCTTTCCGCTCTCCATTCCTCTGGATTGCGGCGCCCACAGAGCTCAGCTGCTCCGTGCAATCACCAGCAGCGCGGCAGGTCTCCAGCTCCCACATGTTTCTACTTTTTTTTTTTTTTTTCATGTGAAAAACCCTTCTCCAACCTAGGAACCCCTAAATCAGACCAGCAGCGTCCTTGAAGCTCACGAGTACAAACACACACTCCTACTTTGCAGTGCAGCCGCGTCTGGAAGAAGACAGCTGCCTCCAGCTATCTGTAATTACTTTTTACCTGTTCAAAAGATATTTATGGATGTGGGCTAAAGAAATTGCTGTATTCTGACCCCCTTTACTTCCTATCTACCAGATGAAATGGCACTGTGGGGCTGCTAAGGAGACATGGGTAGATGGCCACAGTGTAGGTCACATCAGATGGCTTGGACCAGGCTTGGAAGGCCCTGAAAGCACCTCGAGATCCACGGGAGCCGGCTGCACCCACCCGGGTGAGAGCTGCACACAGATGTACGCTCTGCAGTCGGCACCGTGGCTTTCTGGAAAGGAGCCACAGGGCTGGAGAGAAGCACAAGAAAAATGCATCATCTGCACAACACCTAGCATGTTTATGCAGTGCCAGCCAAGCCTTGCCCCAAGGCAGTCACAAAAGTGACGGCAGGTAACCAAACATGTAATTTTCTAGCTGCTCACATTCCTGCAGCCCCAAAAGCCGCATTTCACATAATCCAGAGGATGGAGATTTCCTGCTGGATCTCACTTTAGGAGTGCAATTTCCCCACTGGAAACTGCTATTTCAATAAAACAGTCCAAGACGCTGCTTCATGGATGGGTGACAACTTCCTGAGCTGGCTGCTGGGAGGAAGAGAGACTCCTTTGCAAGAGGCCAAGGGACCAAGGAGATCCTGTAGCGTTACCTGTAAGGGGAGAGGATGTTGAGGGGTGGAGGAGCATCGCAGGATCCATAGGTTTCAAGAACAGGCACTGGGAGAGACTCTCTGTCAAAGAGCTTCTGGTCCTGAGTAGTGGAGCTTTTGAAGGCCTTTCTGGTGTTAATGCCTTGCAGGGAGACTGTAAGAAAGAGGAGAAAGCAAGTGAGGAACAGCTTGACCCAGGCCAATGACACTGAAGATCAAGTAGCAAACATCTGATTTCAGTTGGAGTTCTTGGCATGCCTAGCACTTCTTAAGGTCAGGTTCCTTTTCCCACAGATCTCTCGGGAAACCCAGCAAGGCTCAGATGTTGCCGTGCCAGGATCTGCTGCTGCAGACACGGCTCTCTCGAGAGCTGCTGCTGCGGTTTCGAACCCCTGCGACCAAGGCACGGAGCGCTGCTGCTGCCGGCTCCCTTCCACAGGAGACCCGCTAGCAAGCGACGCCAGCCTGGCCCGGAGAGGCTACACACAGGAGCAGCACCGTGCTTATTTTCGGGAAAAATGTCCCTTTTAGTCCCAGAGAAAACACTCCAACACTGAGAGCCTCAGGCTCATTTCAGGGCCCTGAAGCACACTGGCTCGATGAGAATCTTTAGCATGCTTGGTCTGCAAGGACTGCGCTCCAGCCCATTACCTTCTTCCTCTTTGGGATCCAGCTGAGTGACTTTGACTTGCAAGCGGTCAACTCTCTCGACTAGAACGCTCACCCGAGAGGCAAAGGTGTTGGCTTGAGTAAACAGCTCTCCAAATATGTCCTCTGCAGATTTACCTGCAATATCAGAGTGTCCGCGTTACTCTCGCGAGCTGCATCGGGCTGTGTTCAACCTCCCCTCCTTCTAGGAGCCCTCCCTGTCAAAACCGACCTGCAGCTTTGTCTTGCACCAGCCAGCCACGAACGGCGTTTCAGAGCCGCGCGTTTCCACCCGGCCACGCTGGAGATAAAGGTAACACTGTCTGCCAGCGACCCCCGAGCCCTTCCACAGCACCCATAGGCTGTGAGGAAATCGAGACACGCTCTCCAAGTCATTATAAAGTCGCCTAAAAGGGCGGCTGAGGGCAGAGCGCTTTGAGCTCCGCGGCCCTGCAGGGCTCTCCGCTGCGCTGCTGATTAGACAAGCAAATGCAGTTAGATCCTCCCTGCTCTGGAGAATCTCAGCAGCTCCCGCTCCCGGCAGCCCTGCCTCCAGGGTAACCGGCACGGATTTACAGGCTCCAAGCGCTCTGCAACCCCAGAGTCCTTGATCCTGAAGCCCGAGTTAGAACCACGCGTGCGAGCACTGACCCTTTTGTTCCTTCAGGTGGCAGCATCTGAAAAATTGATGCGTTCACGTTTATTCCAAATCAAAACCAAACAGGAACTTCTCAGACGAGGATATTCTCTCTTTAACAGCTTGGATCGCCCTGTGGGCTGCCGTGACAAACACCAGCCAGCGCCCGCAGCGCGAGCGGGAGCAGGAGCAGGAGCGCGCCGCACCGCGCACCAGCGCTACCAAAGACACCCTCGGTGTCCAGGCTTGGAATCCACACGTACGGCGAGAGGCGCCACGGCCAGCCCGGAGATGGGAGAGCGGCAGGAGGAACA